AATGGGAAAGTTAACAAAGCAGAAGATAAAAGAAAGGGACAAAGGATAAGTCAAAATTCTGGGGTCTTTTGCTTTGAAAAGATCAATGAAATGTATAAATCTGTTACGATCCTTGTTAAGGACAAAAAACTACACATGACTAGGAATGAGAGTGAGACATCACTACACATACTGAAGAAATGAAGAGAATTATGTCACTTGAAAGCCTAGAGGAAATTAACTACAAAATGACTCCTAAACAACAAAGGTTTTTATGATGTTTTTAAAAGTATCATCTAGTAAGGTCTCATTTATGCAAAATCATAAGTGAGCTTTTGGGAGTTAGCTGCGTATAAGCATGTGGAGGTTGTGTGTGGTGTCGCATGGGCAGTTATGTGTGTGGCACACGTGTGTAAAGGTGTGTGTGTGTGTATGGGTTGTGGGATGGGGTATATGGTGTGTGAGTGTGGGGATTTGTGTGGTGGGAGGGAGCATGGACTTGCATGTCTGCCTCTGCGTGTGAGTGCTGGTGTGGTATGGTCTGAATGTTTGTGTCTCCTCAGTCGCCAAAGTGGTGCTATGAGGAGCCAGTGCCTTTGGGAGGTAAGCAAGCTTACTGAGCTTATGAGAAATCCCAGGGAGCCAGCTAGCCCTTTCCACCATGTAAGGATGCTTGAGAAGGAGATGTCTATGAGGCACGAGCCCTTACCAGACATGGAACCTGCCAGTGCCTTGATGGTGGACTTCCCAGCCTCCAGGACTGTGAGACATAAATGTCGTTAATAAGCTGCCCAGTCTGCGGTGTTTCTGTTATAGCAGCCTGTGTGGACTAGACAAGATGCAAGTAACAAGTCCCAGGTCCTCATCCCTAGTGAACTGCTTAGTAGAGGCAGATGCTCAAGAGACGTTAAAAGGCAAATGCATGTCCTGAACAGAGTGTGTGAGAGTGTGTGAGAGAGTGTGAGAGAGTGTGTGTGATCATGTGAGAGTGTGAATGTGTCAGAGTGTATGTGAGAGTGTGAGGGAGAGTGAGAGTGTGAGAGTGTGTGTAAGAGTGGGTGAGTGTGATAGTATGTGAGAGTGTGTGAGTGTGAGAGTGTGCGTGAGAGTGTGTGAGAGTGTGTGTGTGAGAGTGTGTGTGTGTATGAGAGTGTGTGTGAGTGTGTGAGAGAGTGTGTGTGTGTCTGAGTGTGAAAGTGTGTGAGTGTAAGAGTGACAGTGTCTGTGAGAATGAGAGAGTGTGTGAATGTAAGTGTGAGAGTGTCTGTGAGAATGTGTGTGAGAGTGTGTGAGTATGAGAGTGTGAGTGTGTGAGTGTGTGTGAAAGTGTGTGAGTGTAAGAGTGTGAGCGTGTCTGTGAGAGTGTGTGAGTGTGAGAGTGTGAGAGTGTGTGAGTGTGTGTGTGAGAGTGTGAGTGTGAGAGAATGTGTGAGTGAGAGTGTGAGCGTGTGTGTGAGTGTGTGAGTGTTAGAGTGTGTGAGTGTGTGAGTGTGAGCGTGTGTGTGAGAGTGTGTGAGTGTTAGAGTGTGTGAGTGTGTGAGTGTGAGAGTGTGTGTGAGAGTGTGTGAGTGTGAGAGTATGTGAGTGTGAGGGAGTGTATGTGTATGAGAGTGTGTGAGTGTGAATGTAGGGGTACAGCCGTGTAGGGGGTGCTTACAAGCTGACCTTCAGGGAAGCAGGGTCCCCACATTGCTGGTGCAGCTGTATCCTGCGAACAAGGTGAGGGGCTTTTTCACAGTGGGGCTCAGACTCCTTGTTCCCTTCACATTGTCTTCGGCACAAAGATGAGCTGGAAATGCTTATGGCATTTTGTTTTAGTTTTTGTCTCTCTCCATGAATAATTCCGTTTTCAATTGGCTCACGTCATATGTCCCCAGGTACACTGTTGTGATCACAGCCATGTTCCCATTGGCAGACAGCCCTCGAAGCCTGATGTGGCTGATTAGTCAGTGGCACAGTTTGACCGGGGGGTGTGGGTGGGGGGTGGCTGGCCAGGGATGAGCTGGAGCAGTGGAGCTGGCTCATAGGACAAGTCACAGCTCTGGACCTTTTCGTTCAGTCCCATCAAACCCTTGTGGATGTCAAGAGCTCACTTGTTTCTTGCTGAGTGGCATTCCATGGTGTGGATGCCCCACAGCTATTAGGAATACAGCCACTGTGGACACGCATTCCTTTGTCTTGGGTAAATACCTAGGCCTAGGCGTGGACTGGCTGGGCCATCTGGTGGGTGCACGTATGACATTGTGAGACACTGCCCAACTGTTTTTCCAAGTGGCTGCACCATTTTACCTTCCCACAGAATGAAAGAGCATTTCTGTCTTCCACAGTGCCACCGACGCTTGCCATTCTAATAGATGCTAAATTATCAGGAATTTTGAGAACTAATTCTTAAATACCATCATTATTAAATTATAAAAACTGGCCAATGAAATATTAAAAATAAAGGAGTGCTCAAAGTTCATCACATCATCATGGTGGTGGCTTAGGGCTGGCACACCAGGGCTTGACTCACTACTATTTTTATTGATTGCCTAAACTTAAAGAAATGGGGAAAATGTTACTAACACAGATCACATTTAAGAATGTGTGTCTGTGGCCATGTGTTGTTAATAGCAAAAAAAAAAAAAAAAGAAAAAAAGACATTTCTAGTATTTGAAAACTATTATCCAATTCAGCAAAAAGGTTGTTCATCTTTGTTGTTTTACTTTTGTCTTACTCATTAAGATAAAGGTATCCCTGACATTGATGCAAGAAGCACACTGGCCCATGCGCTGCGACCATGCACGGGGTCCAGGCACAAGTCAACAAAGGCATTTGTGAGAACAGCTGGCCGTGTGGGACTTACAATGAAAAACACATTGTACATTTTATTGTACATATATTGTGAATTTCATTATTTGTAAAATGTGTGTGTGAGATACTGGGCTATAAGGACAATGGACACCTTCCAGCTTCTGTTTACTGCTTGTTTGCTAACCGCAAGGCATTATGAGTACATTATGGGATGCAGAGGAAAAAGACAAAGAACGCAGAAACCCGAGTCTCTCAGCTAGGACCCGGAACAGGTTAGAGCCTATCAGGGGCAGGATGAAGTAAGAATCACTGTGGGGGCGGATGCATGACCAGTGTGTAAACAATGAGTTATAAAAAGGAGACTAACACACAAAGGAGAAGAGGCCACTGCGCTGGCACTCTGGGGGCTCGGACCCTAGCTCGAGCTAGACAATAAAATTCCTTTTGATAATTACAGCCTCGGTGACTCTGTCTCTCTGTCCTGTGGCCTTGTGAATCTCGAATATAGCATGTGCTCACATCCTTTATATGAGTACAATTTATAACAAACGTGTGTGTGTATCCACGGGGGCCAGGCACACCTATATACGTGTACACACTCACATGTGCTTTCCGGACAGCCACTAGCTAGGCATTTATGAGCACATGGCTCCTTTGAGGCAGCAGAGGCAGGTCACAGCCTGTCTGTGCAGCAAGGTAGGCAGATGCTTGGCATGGCCAGTCCCAGTACAGGCCCGGGAGAGTACCTGGGGCCAGGCCGCTATGAGGCCAGGGCAGTCCAGAGTGATGTGGGAGAAGCACTGCAGCCCGAGAGAGGCGAGAGGGCACAAAACCAGAGCCCCCGTCTGTGTGATCCTGGAGGTGAGCCCCTTCTGGCAACCTATTTGGTGTCACCTACCCAGAGAGTCAGTGGTAAGGCCAGGATTTTAAGGGCACCACCTGCGGGTTCAGGCCTAGCCAGCCTTGGGCACCAGGGGTTCAGGGGGACTCTGTGCCCCTACTCCTTCTGCTCCTGCCCGGGCAGGATCTTGCACTCAGGCTCAGCCCTGCTGGGCTAGTAGCCCTAGCCTTGTGACACATTCCCAGGTGGTGCTCGCCTCAGGAAGCTTGGCTGTGACAAGACCACTGGTTACCAATTGCATTCCCAAACTGATCCCTGTGGGGCTCTCCTGACCACACATCCTGGTCCACCCCTGCCAGGCCGAGGCCCTCCCTGCTGCACAGCCCTGTACCCACTACTTCTCCCTCCCCAGCCTGCTGCCCTCCCCTCTGCCATTCTCTGCACAGCAGCCCGGAGGCATCATAGGGACAGAAATCAGTTTTGCATCTCTCCTGGTCATAACCCTCTGTGCTCCCCCTTGCCCTCAGGGTCAGTACTGCTCTGGGCCATGAGGACGGCCTTATGTGGCTGCTGCTCATGCTCTGGCATCATCATCCTGCCACCTCGCACATTGCAGTGGCTCTAGTCATTTTGACCTACTTAGGGTTCCCCAAACAGGCCTGGCTGTCTCAAGGCTGGAGGCTTTGCTCATGCGAGTCACTCTCAGGTGTGGCCACCCAACCTATCCTACCCCTTCTTACCTGCTCCTGCATTTGGTTACACAAGTCTTTCCTTGCCCATGAGGCCTCCCCACGAGACTGGGAGTGCCTCAGGGTGGGGCCCCAACGCAGGTTAGCCAGTAACCCAAAGCCAGCCACAAGGGACAGGGGGCCCAGGACAGACTCTTTTCCAGACATCATTCTCACCACCTCTCCTCTGTGCCTGCCTCAGTGCACCCCACCCCACACACTGAAGCACATCCTCCTGCCACTCAGCATGCATGTATGCATGTGTGTACATACATTTCACCCTACTACCACTTCACAGAGCAGGGACAGAGGTTCCAGGTCCCCCAGCGGCAAGTACTGGAGCTGGACTTTGCACCCAGGCAAAGGCTTAAGGCCTTATGCATGGATTTCTTAGGTCTCTGGGGTGGCAGTGCAGGTAGGGCAATGCTCAGGGGACTGTAGGAGACCAGCCAGGGAGACGGCCTGTGGCTCAGAGGTCACAGCCCCAACCCACCAGCCCCTCGGACTAGCCTAGGAGCCTTGATGCCCCCCCACCCGTGGAGGTCACTGCAGGGACAGGACACAGTGGGGTGGCCCTGGGGGGTCTCTGCTCCAGTCTCTGCAGGCCAGGTGTCGGGGGAGCCTGGCCCCAAGTGTCTGGCCAATAAGTCAGCTGTGAGTAGTTGGCAATGTTTATTGAGAAACACGGTGAAGGGCAGCAGTGCGGCCCTGGGGTGGGGCTCTGGGCTGCATGGCTGGTCGGGCCAGGCCCAGGAGGCCTGGCAGGTGTATGGACCTGGGGTTATCCACCAAGAATAGCTGGGGGAGGGGCAGCAAGGCTCTGCTCAGAGCCCGACTGAGCGTTTGAGGCTGGTGCTGCCCGTGGGCAGGGAGCATCTGTGCTGCTGGTGCTCAGGCCTCCAGGTGTGGGGCATCAGGTGGCAAGTACATGGGCTCAACATGGGCCCAGCTGCGGGCCTGCTCATCTGCCCAGGCGAGCAGCTCAGCCGCGCGGTGCAAGAAGATCAGGAGCAGGGTATGCACATCGCCCTCAGCCGAATGGGCTGCGCTTGGCTCGGCCTGGAAGTAGCGGTGGAAGAGACTGCCCAGGCTGTAGCCCTTGCGGCCCTGGGCCCGGGTGCCATGTCCATGGGCACCGTCCAGGCCCCGCAGCGCAGGCAACGTGTCCAGACAGATGGTGTCCTGGGGCAGGCGGGCACCCAGGCGCAGCAGCTCGGTACACAGCAGGGGAAAGTCATAATCGAAACCGTTGTGGGCCACAAGGCAGATGGGGCCGGCCTGGCGGCTCAGGAAGGCCTGCAGCATCCGCGCTACGGTGTGGTCAAAGCCAGGTTTCTGGCAATGCAGCAGGCCTTCCCTGCTCAGGCCAGTGATCTCGCTGGCCTTGGCGGTGAAGGCACGCTCCGGGCACATGCACAGAGTGAGCTTGTCCAGGATCCGGGGCAGCACAGGGGCACCAGATTCGTCGTGCTCCGGATTCTCCAGGCAGGAGCGGTGGACGGCAAAGAGGGATATCTCAGCGATCTCAGGCTCCGTGCTGGGGAGCCCTGTGGCTTCCAGGTCCAAGAAGACAAACGTCTCGGCCCGGGGTGCCTCAGACATGGCGATTTGGCACAAGGATGGCAAGGCCTCAAGCTGCCAGAGCAAGAGGCACAAGGTCTGAGGGCTAAAGGGATGGGGACACCTGGGCCCTCTCTCTGGCCAAAGCTCCAACCCCTCTGGGCCTCATTTCCTTTTCTTTTTATTTTCTGTACAGACAAGGTCTTGCTATGTTGCCCATGCTGGTATTATACTCCTGTCCTCAAGCCATCCTCCCACGGCACTGCGCCTGGCCTGGGTCTCACTTCCTGCCACCCTCACCCCACTTTGGGCTCTAGGAATGGTTTCTAAGGCCCATATCCAGGGAAACTTTGAAGGGACCTCCAGGGCTGGGATCCAGCAACCAGGATCTGTAACTTCTGTCCAGGATGGGACTTTCTAAGGAATCATCACTCCCCTCCATTCTGTCCCTTGGGTCCCTCCCTAGCCAGCCCCACTCCTGCCACCTAAGAGCAAAAGGCAGGCCTCAGAGAGAGACCCTTGCCCTCTGCCTCCAGGTACAGTCACAGTCCCCATCAGAGCTGTGGGGAGGAAGATGCAGCCCAGTGATAGCGCCTTGGCAAGGCCCATCCCCTTCACCCAAACACCACAGCTGGGGCCTCAGGTATAGCACCCTTGGGTCTCCACCCTTGGAATTAGCTCCTGTGCAGTGACCCCAACTTCTCCTGGGCTCAGTATCTCCTGGCCTTCTCCCTGCCACACAGGTGCCAGCCCCAAACTGGCCTCTGCCTGCCCCCAGGTTCCTAGCGGCTGTCCTCACCAACCTTAGCATGCTGGCTTACCTGGGCGAGCACTGGCTGGCTTCCTCGGCTGCTGTTGGGCACCTGTCTCCAAACAGGCTGCTCCAGGCAGCCTTTAACCAGCAGCTGCGGCCCGCCCCCAGCTGCCTGTTGGGCAATGAGGAACCTGGGGCTGCAGGACTTGTGCAGCCGGCTTGCTTGCCGCCCCCTCACTCGCTCACAGCCACTGGGACACGCGCCTCATGTTTACAGAAGGGACAGCAGGCTCTGGGGCCACATGGGCTCCCTGGAGTTCCTCACAGGCACAAGGAAGCCCAGGCAGTGCAGAAGGCCATGCCCTTCACTCAGCCCACCTCCAAGTCTGGCAGGGGCCAGCCTGTGGCTGCCAGGCCTGGCAGGCCCAAGGTCAATGCCTACCCCCATGCTGGGATGTTCCACACAAAGGGCAGGTCTCAGTTTCCCCCATCACTGGAGAACAGGCTGCCCCTTGGGAGGCTGAAGCAAGCTCAGGAGTGTGCTCAGCCTACAAAGGGGAAGGGGTACTCAGGATGGGGGCCTTAGTGTCACCCCTGTGAGCAGCGGTGACTTCAGGGCAGCCCACACACTGCCCGGCTGCAGCTTACCCACCTTGTGGGCTCATTTTTCTACCAGGAAGGAGATGGTATCTGCTTCAAGGCTGTAATGACCCCTAATGTCTAACAAGCGCCTAGTAGAGGCTGCCAGGGAAGACGGCCAGGCAGCTGAGATGAGCACCGCAAACGTTGGGTGGGAGCCCCAGGAATATAGGAGCACCCACTCCAGGTGCAGGGCACTGGCAGTATGGGAGGGGGGCTAGGTACAACCTGGCCCAGGAAGTGGCAGTGTCCTGAGCACCTCATTCCATAGCAACATGCACCAGCGCTTGGGGCACAGGGAGGCAACCAATGTGAGTCCCTTGGCCTATAAAGCAGTTGGCATACGTGGACAGTAGTGACCACATGCCTGCCTCTCCAACCACCTCCCATAGCAGCAGTCTGGAGACAGGGCAGGAGAGGCCTGGTGCCCGGCTCCCCATGCTCTCCTTGCCTTGAGTGCCTGCAGGAGAACCTGGGGACGCAGAGGTGACAGTGCAGGGAACAGGCAGGGTGTGCAGCAGCAGGTGCAAGAGAGAACCTTTTGCTCCTGGACCCACAGCAGCCAAGGGAGGCAGAGGCTCCACTGGTTGTGCCTGTCTGTTCCTGTGCTCCCAAGGAGGGAGGTGGCTGTGATGGGCACACTGCTCAGGGAGGTTCTGGGTCACCCTGCGAAGCCCAGAGAGCAGCTTCCTGGACAACCAGTCAGGCCACTGTCAGGAATTCCCCAGTCTGTGCTGAGCACCATGCAGAGGAAGGCAGGGGAAGGAGGGAGCAGGTGCCCTGTCTGCCAGATCCAGGAGCACAGGCCTTGTCCAGGAACCCAAGGCCAGCCAGGGGAGGGGACAGCTGGCAACAACAAGAGAGAATGGAAGCAACAGGGAGAGACAGCCCAGACCTGCCAGGGCAGCTGGAGGGCTGCAGCAAGCTGGCCTGGACCTGGGACACTGGGCAGTCCTGGCCAGAGGGGAAGAAAGTGATGCGGAGCCGCGGACACAAAAAGGCTAGAGGCGACTTCTTAGAGCCTGAGGTTTCCTTTGTGCCCAGTTCGAACCCCTCTGCCCAGCCCCACGACCTTCCCTCCCTCCCAGGGCACCTTGGGCCCTGCCCAGAGAATAGCTCGGCCGCTCAGCTTCTCCACTTGGCTCTGCCCAGCCAGCCGCCCTGGGCTCAGGGACGGCTTCCTGCTCCCGCGCTAGCCTACGCCCTTGTGCAGGCTGTCGTTGAAGACCTTATATTTCTGAGTTAGTTCATCTATTTTGGTGGCTGCAGAGGAAAGAAAAAAACATAAACAGCAAAGTGAATCTAGTGCTTCCCGGCCACGAAGAGGCAGAGGTGGGCAATCCATGGGAGGGTCACCTCCTGCCCCCTCAGCCCACCCAGCCACATGTCCTCCCTGGTGGACCCTCGTCAGGCCCCAGGCACCACCGGCAACAGGGAAATGGCTAAGCTGGGAGCTGCTAAGGGGGTCGCTCCTGGGAGCTAGGCTGGTAGCTCAGGGGCCCTGGGATGCGGCCTCAGCCAGCTGCCCACGGCCCAGCAAGGAGCCAGGGAATGTTCTGATGTTGGTGGTGTATTCAATTTTAACCAGATGAACAGTATGTGTACACAGTGACAAATCCAATGGCATGGAACAGCCCTAAGGCCCTAGCTGAACACCACCAGTCTCCACCACCCACCCAACCCTGAGGCCACTGCTGTGACCCATGCCACCTGGCTCTCAGGGCGAGGAGAGGGCACCAGGGCTGCCATGACACCGGCCTCTAGAGGCAACAACCTGAGACAATGACTTCTGGGTGTGACTTGAGGGGCTTCTGCTCGCTTCCATGCCCCCACAGAGAGTCAGCTCTGCTTTTGTGTTTTCCACTAAGTACACAGGACTCCCGGTCCTGCTCAGCCTCTCCCCTTCCACAGGTCAGGTCATTAACACTGACATTAGGTGCTGTGACAGCCCGAATTTGTCATCCTCTGCCAATCCCGAGGGTGACTCTGAAGCTAGGAATCATGGGTGTGCCTCAGAGCGGTGGGCCTCAGGGTGCTGAGTGGGTAGGCTCCTCCTTGCAGAGCAGGGGCTATGCTCAACCCAGCATGAACCGCACCCCCAGGACCTTCTCCACTTGCCATCAACGCATTCAATGGTGTCCCAGTTTAGGGGCTTCCTCTCGAGACCTCCATTTCTCTAGTCTTTCCCTAGGTGCTAGACTGCCTTTGCTTTGGGTGGCATCTGCCTTCATCAAACCCTCTGGCCTCCCCAGGGGCAGTTGTCAGTTGGCACCTCTCGGCCCTGGCCTAGGCCTTGAGTGTTGCCCTCACGCTTGGCCTAACTCAGGGGAAGTGCCCCCAGGGTTGCTCCTCTGAGGCAACAGGGTCTCTTTTTCCAAGCTTTGGTTCCAGCACTGTGACCCTGGTCCTCCAGATCACAGAAGGCTGGATCCTGGGACACATCTTGTGGGTTCCATCTGTCCTGCTTTGGGAATCTGAAGCCTCACTCAGCTGACTCAGTCTGCTTTGCCTGTCACTTTCTGGGCAACCCCTGCCTCCATCTCCCTTCATCTCTCTCTGGTGTGTTCGGTCGCCACCGAGTTTGGGCCTCCATGTTGCTTACCCGTGTCCATTGTTCTGTCTCTTTTCTCTGTACTCTTACAGTTGCCACCTCGTTTTGTTTTCTAGTCTTTCCTCACTGCTGGGTTTTCACTGCTTTGCAGGCACATGTGGATGTTACAATTAGTATGTTCACTCACATTTCCTGCTTACCCAGGTCTTTCTTCTCTCTTGCATGGTGCTGGTTCTCTTCTGCTAGCCCTAGACAGCCGCTGGGGTTGGGAGAGGGGGCCTGGATAGCTGGCGTGGCCCCTGCTCTGCTGTGGTGGGGCCACCTGCTTCCTGCGGCATCTCTCCTTAGCAGGAGTTTGGAGGAGCCTAGTTTGCTTATTCATTTCAATAATTTTCTGCGCTTCCGCCCTCTTCTTCCAGTCTACTCACCACTGCCCCTCCCAGGGCTCCCCAGCTGCTCCCTGGGGCTGTCCTCTTGCTGCAGCTGTCCCCAGCCATTATGCTGTTCACTTTCTGCCTTCCAGAACCTGTTAACATCTCTCCTGTGGTGGTGCCCTCAACTGCCCTCCCCTCTTCCCAGCACTGAGAGGGTTGCTTCGCTTCTAAACACATCGATATTTTCATGGCAGTGAGCCCTCAGGGGCCCTGGGAGGCAAACGAGATTGCAGGTGCACCCGATCAGGATGATGACACCCAGTGTGTGGGGAATGACAATGGGACAAGCTGCCAGCCCACACCGCCAAGGCCCTCCCTCCCTGCTCACATGAGGCCACATATCCAGGCACGGGCCTAGCAGGCACACTGGGTCCCTCCCTTCAATATTTGGGGACATGCCACCAATACAGCCTGGCCACTGGCACGCAGATAGGTGGGAGGGGAAATAGCACAGCAACACGGATCTTCCATGGTAGCAGGGCTTGAGGAGGTCATCGAGACCAAGGCCCTCAATGTGTCAATTAAGAAAGGGACAAGTAAATGACAGTTCCAAGTGGCCTTTGGTGTGCATTTGATGCTGGCTCCCTTCTTTGGGCATGTCTCAAGCCTAGGAATTTATCGCAAACCAAATCAGGAAGGTGCCTTGACGGGAGCCGAGTCCAGAGCCACGAAAGAGGTCAGCGCCCTGCTGGCCCTGCTCTCCTCACATCTCTCCAGACCCCGAGGTGGCCGGGGCTTGAGGGTGAGCACAGGCTTCCCTGCCAACAAAGTGCTGCCGATTCGCACAGCCTGACGCACACAATGCCTATCTGAAAAGCAAAACCTGTCACCAGTCTCATGGTGCCACAGTCACGGGTAAGGTGGCACACTATTAGGATACTAATGATCATTACTATAATAATGACGGCATGGATTACACACAGTTTATTAACAGCAATTCTACACACTGGGGTGAGAGTCCTAGTGACAGTGGTTACTAGAATAAATGCTATAATAAATTTTAAAGTGGAGGATTCTGGTGCAGTTCAGTCAGCAAGAAATGACTACTGAGTGCCCATGTGGCACTCATGTGGCAGGCATGCGCCAAGGCCAAAAGCAGTGAGAAGGGAAGCTGCCCGAGGAGAGGGTAGGCTGGAGAGTTCATCCAAAGACAGTCACCAAAGGAGGGATCAGGGGCTGTATGACCCAAAGCCACTACTTGAGGGCACATCAGTGGAAAATATTTCTAGGTAAATGCCTTGGTTGCTGCTGCAAACAAAAGACTGACCATAAGCCAGAGAGGAAAGGCTGGGGAAGGAGCTGTCCACAAGGGCTCTGAGAAGCTCTGACATAGTCTTGGGACCCAGGAAGGCCATGTGCATGCCTAGGGCTGTGAAAATGCCCAGGGAAGACCTGGAAGACCCTGAGCTCCTTTCTGGCTGCCCTTGAGGCTGTGAATAAGCACAAAGTAAAGAAGAAAGAGCTGTCAACTGCTCAGCTGAATGTTGATGAAAAATATGATTTTCCACATCCAAAAAGCTCCAAATGGGATAAACTCAAAGCCATTCACACAGAGACATTATAATCAAAATATCAAAAGCCAGAGACCAACAGAATTTTAAAAACAAGTGAAGAGATTTATCGTGTACAATGGTCCTCAATAAGATGGCGAGCTAATTTCATGTCAGAAGTTACGAAGGCCAGAAATAGTGGGATAACATATTCAAAGTACAAAAGAAAAGAACTGTCCACCAGGAATTCTATATCCAGCAAGATTACCTTCAAAGACGAAGGAGAAATTAAGATATTCCCAGATAAACAAAAACTGAGGAAGTTCGTCACTAGTAGACCTTCCCTTTAAGAAATACTAAAGGTATGCTGCAAACGTTGTGGATGTAAAGAAAAAAAAAAAAGAAATTCTAAATGTAGTCTTCTAGGCTGAAATGAAGGGACACTAGACAGTAACTCAAATCCATGAAGAAATAAAGAACTCCAATAAAGGTAACAACACAGGTAAATATAAAAAGTAAGTATTTTTAAAAAGTAAGTATTTTTATTTGTGACTCTTTTCTTCCCCTATGTGCTACAATTACATAAAGCAATAATTATAAATCTATGTTGACAGGCATACAATACATAAAGTTGTGATTTGTATAAAATAACAGCACAAAGGAGAGGAGAAGGAAGAAAGCTGTGTTAGAGCAACGTTTCTGTGTACTGTTGAAATGAACTCGGTACTCGACTGTTTAAGATGTCAATTGTAATTCTAAGGTCAATCACTAAGAAAATAACTTTAAAAAAATAGAGTTAAAGAAACAATAAAGCAATGAAAATGGTATGCTAGAAAATATCTATTTAATACTAAAGAAATAAGAGGACTAGAGGATTATCGGTATTTACGTTAAGTATAAATGGATGAAACAACGCGGTGAAAAGGTCGAGACTGGTAGAACAGATAAAACAGTCTGTGGTGAAAAGGTCGAGATTGGAAGAACAGATAAAACAGTCTGGCAATACCTCAAAAAGTTAAATATAGAGTCACTATGTGACCCAGAAATCCTATTCCTGGGTATGTAGCCCAACGAACTGAAAACCCCAGCTCACACACACACTTGTGCACATATTCATAGCAGCATTATTTGTAACTGCCAGAAGGTAGGAACAACCACATGTGTACTGACGGGTAAATGGATAAACAGAAGGTAGTGTATCCAAACAAGGGACTATCATTGAGTCCCAGAAAGGAGTGGAGTACATGGATAAACCTTACAAAATATCATGCTCAGTGAAAGAAGCCAGACACAAAAGGCCACATGTCATGTGATCCCATTTATAGCAATGTCCAGACAGGCAAATCTGCAGAGACAGATGGCAGATTGGTGGTTGCCAGGAGCTGGGCTAGGGGAGTGGGGACTGATTGCTAATGGTATGGGATTTCTTTTGGGGGTGATGAAAATGTCCTAGACTTAGGTAGTGGTGATGGTTACAGAATGCTATAAATATCTTAAAAGCTGCTGAATTGTACACTTTTCAAACGGTAAACGTTATGTGAATATAAGTGAATATAAGCTGTTATTGTTAAAAATCGGCCGGGCGCGGTGGCTCACGCCTGTAATCCTAGCACTCTGGGAGGCCGAGGCGGGCGGATTGCTCATGGTCAGGAGTTCGAAACCAGCCTGAGCAAGAGTGAGACCCCATCTCTAAAAAAAAAAAAAAAAAAAAAAAAAAAAAAAAAAAAAAAAAAAAAAAAATGAAGAAGAGTAAAATAGGAAAATTGGCTTTATCCTCTTTCTTTGGATTTATTTTCTAACCTCCTGAAATGTGGTATTAGTGCAGAGATTTTAAAAAAAAAAAAGAATAGAGAGCCTGGAAACCCACACGTGTGTGGGCACATGGTAACTAACAGAGGTGGCAGTATTACAGACCAACCGGGAGAGTAAATTCCATTCAATGGTGCTGAGACAAATGTGGACCCACACCTCACACTACACCAAGATTCAACTCTTGGAAGATTACTGACCTAACTGAAGAAGGTTATACTATGCAGTTTTTGGAAGACAATATAAGAAAGTATCTTCAGGACGCTGGAGTAGAAAAGTATTCATCAGTGAGACACAGGAGGCCTGCCCATAAAGAAATGATGGCTACATCTCACTACATTCAAATGGAAAGCTACTGTACGGGAAAGGACCACAGGACCACAGGAAAGGTGTGAAGAGCTAAGCCACACAGTGGAAACAGATACATGCGATACACTGAACGTGCAAAAAGTCGTGTCCAGAACACAAAAAGGGCTGCAAATCGATGAGAAAGAGACAACCAACCCAACAGAAAGATGAACAAGACTTGAAACAGGCACTTCACATAAGAGAAAACATCAACGGTCAATAAAGGTATGAAAAGTTACAACCTTGTTGGTAACCAATGAAATGCAAAATAAAGATGCAATGAAATACAGTACACACCTACCAACATGAGTACACACCTACAGCCAGTGAGTGTGGTGGGGGTGTGAAGCAAAGGGATGGCTCATGCACTACTGGTGGGGGACGGGCAACATGGCAGGACCAAGTCACACTGAAGACACTGGAACAACCCACACATGCACCAACAGTAGAACGGATGAGCACTGCGCAGTGTAGGCCTCCAAGGTAACACTACGTAGCATGAGTTGGCAAACTACAGTCCATCACCTGCTTTTATAAGTGAGGTTTTCCAGAAACACAGCCAGACTCTCTCATCTATGCATCCTCTATGGCTGCTTTCCTGTGACAATAGCAAAGTTGAGTAGTTGCCACAGAGACCATGGAGCCTGTAATGCCTAAAATATTTACTATAGGACCCTTTACAGGAAAAGTTTCCTGACTCGTGCTAAATGGCAATGAAAATGAACAAATTACAGATCCACACAATATAGGTGAATCTCACAAAGAAATAACTGTCACCAAGTCAGGAAAGCAGTTATCTGGAGGCAGGAGAGGATTACGATCAAAAGAGGCACATGGGAAATGCTAGCCATGTCCCACTTTTCAACCTGGGCTATGGTGACACAAGTATTCACTTTGAAATCATCTGAAGTAGAACGAAGGAGGTTTGATGTAGCACAGAGAAAATACCAAACCAGTTTGTATTTCTGGCCCTGTAAGTTGAGACTCCTCCGGAGATGCTGTTTTTCTTTTTCTTTTTTTGTCATCTATATACTGGATATTCTTTATTTTTATAGACAAAGGGCTTTTAAAACAATATTAAAAATATGCTCAAGAAACCAACAGAAAAAATTTTTCTTAAAGTGTATTTCCACAATTAAAAAAATTATTCAGAAGGAAAATTTAATTGAAATTGAATTCAGATACAATTGTGCACCTACACAGCAGCAAAACTGTGAAAAGAATCAAATGCAAGGCTGCTGAGGACACAGTAAAAGGGAAATCATTTGAGCCTAATGACCTGGCACCACTAACCCCTCAGGAACTCTGTCTTAAGGACATAATAGAAGATGAATGTCTAAACATATTCACTGTGCATTTTTCTTTAAGATTGAAAATCAAGGAGAAATGTAACCCAAGTAATGCACACTCATCGGAGAATGTCTGAAGACTAGAGCCGAGGCCGGTTCCAACACTTCAGAACCAGCATCCGTGTTCTGACTCGTTTCCTTCAAGGATTTCTTCTACATTTGTTTTCCTTAGAAAGGGGAGATTATACTGTATATTTCATTTCTTCACTTGCATTTTTCGTTTAACATTTTATACTATGCATTTCCTCACATTCTCATAACCAACTCTAAACAACGGATGCGATCCCCACCATGTAGACACAGCATTAGTTACCCGAGCATTACCTGACCTTAGAACTCGAGACCATTTCCATTTTCTCACTATTATAAATCCTGCCATAGCAGTATGTGTAATAGTAAAAACTGAAACTGACCTGCAGATTGAGTAATAGAAAATGTTAAGCAAATGTTAGCAGGTACTTGATTAGAAAAATATTTGCAAATTAAAAATGTGACTTAGGAAAAATGGGAAAATACTTCAAATGAAGTCAAAGGAAAAGAACATAATATAAAACATAATACCCATCTTATGAGTACATTTAACTTTAAAAAAATGGTAACAGGAAAAAGAATGGAGAGAAATAGACCAAAATACTATTAACACCAACCACCTGTGGGTCGCCAGGGTCATTTTTATTTTTAGCTCTGCAGGCCTGTGGGTTACCTGAATTTTCTGCAATAAATATATTTTATAATCCGTTGAAAGTGTTTTTTTCAAGGAAAGGAAAACATGCTCCCCAAGTGCTGGTGTGCGCAAAAAAGAAGCCAAGAGGGCGACCACATACCTAGACTCATCACAGAGTTGTCACTGCCCCAGCAGATCTGCTCGCCCTGCTGCTTCCTCACTGTCTCCACTGCTTTCACAGAGGTGTCAGCAACCTTCACAACTGCTTTTAATAGCTGGGGAGGGAGGGAGCATCTGGGCATTAAATGCTGCTGGTTTGACCTAGAGATAGCATCTCCTACTTCCCACCCAAGTTCACACTGAGCATGTAGCATTCGCCCCCAAAGACAGAGTTCTCAGATCTAAGTCCCCTTCCTCCTGGCCTGGTGGGGATGCCATACTATGATGCTGCTCTGGTAACCTTCAGTGCCTAGTGACATGCCAGTCAGCACTACATGTCCTCCCAGACCGAGTAAGGCAAATGGCCCAAGAAAAAAGGGCAGGAGAGGCCTGTGCCCTAATTATCCATGTTGGAAGGTCTTACAAGACAGGGTAGTCAGAGGTTGTGAAGTCTTGGAGCCTCTCCATTAAAAAACCAAAATAAATGGTATGAAACACTTGAGCCAAAACCAGAGTTCTGCATACAGCAAGTGTGATAATCATAACCAATCTTAGCTTTTTAGGTTGGCCTCTGGGGTTCTGAAAGGTGGAACAACGCAACAAGTAAACACCTACTTAGCATGGCAGTGGGAGACCACTTTCTCCTGTCTTGCCAGAGCTGGTCATGGGCACAGACAGGCAAGCATTTGTCTGCCTGTCTGGCACAGTTCTTGGTCATGTACAAGAATGAATAGATCTTCATTTGTTTGGGTATAATGTGAAAACAGAATGAGACCAATATAAAGACGGAAGCTGGAGGCTGGGATAAGGTCACATACCACGGCAAGTAGGACCTAACACAGGCAGTGTGCAAACCTCTTCAGAGCCCAGAGTCTTGACTTAGTTAATACCTGAAGTGCGGTGGGTTTGGGGGCAATACCCACATCACCCCTCCACCACACAAGTGCCCTCCTTCTATGACACCAAGAGAAGCATTTGGCCCAACCCACTGAAGGTCCCAGGCCTGGAGCCCAGAGCCTTGCCACATGCTGGCTTGCAGGGAACCCAGGGCAAGCCCCTCTCAGCCCCTCAGCCCAGCCCTCAGGTCCCTCATCAGGCCCAGGGAGGGTGTGAGCTGTCAGTATGAGTGAACAAGGCAGGGCAGGGGAGAGGGGAGGACAATTCTTACTTGGCTGCAGGAAGTCAGAGACTGGTACACGGCCTGGACGATGGGGCCGCACAGGTGGAGGTTGGGGCCTGGGCGCTGGCAGCACTCACCCAGCTCATTGTCGTAGACTTGGAGGAAAGCCAAGATGAGCTGGTGGAAGTCAGAGATGACCAGGCGCAGCTTCTGGTCCAGGGTGCTGGTGTCGGCTCCACCCACAGTGGCCCCTTGCTTGTGCTGCGCAAAGCACTGCAAAGCCAGAGGCAGAGAGTCCTTCGAAACTGCCCCTGCCTGGCCGGCCACACCATGCAGGGATGACAGCAGACAGACAGGCTGAATGGAGCAATTCAGCTTAGAGCAAGACCTTCCTGCTGGCTTCAGGCCTCAATCCTGCCACTTACACTAGCATGGGCCTCAGTCTTTTTCATAAGCATAGAAAGAGGTTGCGCCAAAAGCTGCCGAGAGGGCCACATGTGACAAGGCACAGGCAAGCAGGGACCTCAGGCAAGTTTCCAAGCTTGCACACAGAACTTTGATCCCCAGGCCCAGCCTTGGCACCCCCACCTTTGTGTGGAGTGAGAACCTGCAGCATTCTAGAACCTGTTGGGCACTGTGTATGAGTCACCTCCCTTAAGCCTCACATGCTAGGGGAGGTGACATCAATTGCCCTAGGACACAAAATGGGCCCCCCAAGCCTCACTGCTCCTAGCAGCAGGCACCCCTCACCTCCACTCTGAGCGCCTGCAGCTTGGCAGTGCTCTCCTGTAGCTGCCTGGCCAGCTCCGTCACCTTCTCCTCCTCAGACTTGGCAGAGGGGCTGTCCCTACAGGAAGAGAAAGGGGGACATTTCCAGCTCCACACCACCATGAGTGTCTGTGGTAACAGAACCAGGTGGGGCTGGAGCTAGGACAGGAACATACCGCTGCCAGTCGTCACTCTGCTTGTCGAGGAGGGACTGCATGTCCAGGTGCTGTGGGTCACACTTGGGGTTCAGGAGCGCCTGCAGGTGGGGGCTAGAGAAGAGCTCCTCCAGCAATGCCTCATTCTTCTCCGTGGTGTCCTTGAAGTGCTCTTTCAGCCTGCAAAGGCAGCCCCCAGGGCCCCGCCATCACAGGCTGCAGCACTGACCCAGCAGGCCCCTGGTCCCACATGGAAGATCCAAGAGGCAGAAAAAGACCAGGCCGAGGCCAGGAAAAGGAGCCCCACTACTTCAGGTGCTCATCCACCTCCAACGTGTCTGGCCCATCTTCTCCCAGACCCACACCACTCCTTCCAACTCACACCTGGGACCTTGGGCAGCAGCCTGGCATCCTTAGTACACAGCCACCCCTTGCCCATAAACTCCTTAGCCTAGACTGGCCAGCCAGATCCCCAAGAGGGATGTCCTGCCTCATATGGCATCCTTAGATCCTGGGCCAGCAGGTAGCTGCTGCCAGCAAGCTGCTGCCCCCAGATGAGGAGTGAGACTCCAGCTACAGACACACCCCCAGTCCCATGAGCTCCAGATCTAGGACCAAGACAAGACTGTCCAGGGCACCTATCTGGGCCATCCGAATGTTTACCTTGAGCAATTGGAGTATCCAATGGTCAGGCTCTGGACTGCATCTAGCAACTGGTCCATGAAGTGCAGCTGCTTCTGGGCACAGGCACAGCCCTGGGCACGGAAGGCCACATATATTCACTGGCAAGACCTCAACTAGGCCAAGGCAGCTGCTCCAGGCACCCCTGCCCTACATGCCACCTCTGCCCCTGCCTGGCCACATCTTGGACTAGCTCAGGGACTTTGGCCTCAAAGGCTTCCGCCATCAAGTGCTCCCTGCCTGGCCCCTGCCTCAGGCTGCCATGACGCCTAGGACCACACTTTGGAACATGCCAGGTGCTGCAGAAACATATAGGAGTGTGTGCTTATCACAGAGCTAACAGCACAGCTTACTGAGTGGGTATGTGACATGCAGCAGGGCCTACTAAGACAGAACACAGCCCACAGGGACCTGATGGTGGCCCATTCATCAGGGTGACCTCCAGGACAAGGCCAGGAATGGCTGAAGCCGCTGTGATGGGGCAAGGTGCATGGCAAACAACTTCCACCTCAGTACCCACGTTAGGTAGTACCCTTTTTCAAACTATTTTCAGGCCAGGCACGGTGGCTCATGCCTGTCATCCCAGCACTCTGAGAGGCCAAGTCAGGAGGATCACTAGAGCTCAGGAGTTCAAGACCAGCCTGAGCAGGAGCGAGACCCCGTCTCTACCAAAATTAGAAAAATTAGCCAGGCGTGGTGGCGCATGCCTGTAGTCCCAGCTACTCGGGAGGCTGAGGTGGAAGGATTGCTTAAGCCCAGGAGTTTGAGATTGCTGTGAGCTACGCTGACGCCACGGCACTCTAGCCTGGGCAACAGAGCAAGACTCTGTCTCCAAAAAAAAAAGGCATTTTCACATATTTTCATTCCGTTTTATTTTTATTTTAAAAAATATAAAATAATAAGTATTTGTTTTGAAAAATTCAGCCAAGTTTTAAACAGTTAATGCAATTTACTACTTCATTTATTTTCAGCATCCTGCTATGAAACAAATAGAGCTACCATGTGACCCAACAATTCCAGACATGGTTACATTCCCAAGACGTGTTCAGTCAGAAAGTCATACAAGAATGTTCATAGCAGCATTATTCATAATAATCAAAAGTGAAAATAATTATTTCAAAATTCAGAAATGTTAAGGGCAGGCAGAGTTCTTCTGACTAGCAGTGGGTGGAGGGCCTCCATCACCTCCCTACTGCCGAGAGTGGCTGTGACAATTACTGTCAAAGTGCTGGGCAAGAATATAGTCATCAACCAAGGACAGGACACATTCTATGTCCTTTTGGTCATCATCAGCCAGAGATCTGCCTACACCTCCATAGTCGCCCTCTCCCCTGTGCCCAAGGGACAGCTAGGGTCTGCCCAAGAGAATCCTAGCAGCTATTGCCCCAGGGACACCTCGAGAAACAGCGGCACGCAGCTGGCTCAGGGGCCCGAGGAATCTCAAAAGCACCAGTGTCAGAAACTGCTCTGATCCCCATGCCAGCATCACCCAGGTCCCCAGCCCAGGGCAGAAAGTGTGCATGTCCTCTGTGGAGACAGTCGAGCTCCCTCTCTTACCTTCAGGAGCTCCTGGTCGTCTGGCGTGCACAGCATCAGCTCGTGGCCTAGTTTCACCATCTCTGTCGGAGCACAACGACCCTGTCACTGTAAGCACCCACCCAAACAGAAGACGACACCAAATATCCAGGAGGCTCGCGACACGCAGGGTGCCAAGGCTCCTGTAGTAAGGGTGTTCCCACAGGCCTAGCACAGGAGGCCAAGACCAGGGTGAACCAGAGGTAGCTGGAAGACATATCCTGGTGCCAGAGCTGCCTGTTGCCATATGACCTGTACTCTCTGGGCATCAGTTTCCTCACCTGACACTAAGGGATTGTGCTCACACTCTTCCATACTCGGGGCTCTCGAACTCTGGCTTTAGTAGAAGACAGTCGACTGCCTGAAGAGCAGACGACGGCTAGGGAGCCTCTGAAACACACTGCGTGCCGCCCTCTGAGACCTCGTGAGGCCAAAGCAAAAGGAACCACCACTCACATGTGTTGATGTCCTAAAGGTCTTTCATGTCACCATGGTAGGAGACACCATGTCTCTTACCAGCAACCCTAGGACATGGGCCTTGGTTCCATTTTACACATAGGGAACTTGAGTTCCTGCATGGCACAGAGGACATCCAAACACATCTTCCAAGGAACCGCCTGGTATACAGAGAAAGGCCAGGACTTCGAGCCAGGAAGCCTGGGGTGGTGCCAGCCCCATCCCCCCACCTACCTTGTGGCAACACCCTCAATCCCCTCACAGGCAAGACCCTTCTCCAACCCCTATGTGCCTCAACAACAGAACAGGTGCAACCCTGCACGGTGCCTGCTTTGGAAGGTCACGAGATGCAAGCAGAGAATCCGTGTGAAGGCACTCAGCAACCCTGCAGGTACTTCACAAATGCCAACTGTACTCCCCAAGGAAGTCCACCCCCCACAGTCCTTAACCCCAAATCATCATGACCTCCCTGACGCCTCTCCCGCGCGGTGAATCTAGCCAACCCTCCCCTCACGCTAAATCCAGGATCTGACCAGTGCTCCCCCTCTGCTGCCCCCCAACTCTCGCCTGGATCAGCCACTACAAGAGCTGCACTGGTGTCTCTGCCTCTACCTGGGCCTCTGGGGCTCCTATTCTTGCCACAGTGGGCCCAGGGTCCTGTTAGGCCCAACATCCGGCACCAGCCTTCCTCAGAGTAAGAGCCAGTATCCTTCCATGGCTCACATGACCCAGCCTGACCTCTCCCCTTGCTCTCCAGTCTACTCCAGCCACATGGACCTCCTCTCTGGTCCACAAAGGTGCCAGGCACAAGCGCATCTCAGGCCCTTTGCACACGCTGCTCCCTCACCCTGAACACTATTCCTCCTGCCACCTGCCCGGCTCACTTCCTCCCTTCCTGCTACCTTACCTCAGTAGTACCACCCTTCCCCAAAGCCACCCAGGTACCACTCTGGCCTTGCCTGGCTGTTCACAACGCTTCTCACTATCCGATGCTCTGAGGATCTTCCTGCCCTGTCCGTCCATCGCCTGTCTCTCCCGGCTAGCACGTAAGCTCTGGGAAGGCAGCACAATTTGCTGCTACACCCCCAGCACCTAAAATAGTGCCCTGTATACAGTAGGTGCTCCTTTAATATTTGTCATATGAATTATAGAACTATCCTAGCCCCCTACTTGTCCTGGTTCTCTCACACTCTTTGATAAACCCAACATTCAGCACACTCTGAAGAGGTAGGCAAGGCTGGGGGTTTCAACCCCACTTTATAAAAGAGGAAATTGAGGCCAGGAATGGTGAAGTCAAGGCTGTGGCTAGACTAGGGGCCAGCCTGAGGGCCAAGGTCAGGGTTAGTATGTGTGTCTGTGTGTGTCAGAGAATTCACATGCCATCTTATGGCCTCTGGATGATCCCATTAGTAGGCAAGTACCAGACACAACAGCTCTAGGGACAAGGACAGTACATCTGTGTGGCCCAAGCCAGGCTACAGGCTGCTGCAAGATAAAACATTCAGTTTTTCCGGCCAAGTTCAGCTGCGGGGACGACTATCCAGATAATTAATTTGGCAATGCCAGCCAGGGGCATAGATCAGGGCTCTGCGGTCCAGTTTACCCACCCAGGAACAGTCAGAACAAACACAGGACCATGAAAAATTTGACCTTTGAAATTCCATTGACTTTTGGAGACATCATTGTGAAGATGAAAAGTTAGTTATCTAATAGTCATTACCAGGTTAAGGACAGTTTTTACCAAGAAATGATGGAAAAGAAGAGTTATAAAACAAGCCCCAGCACAGAGCAATAGGCATGCTCCCAAGATCGCCATGTGCAGACAGCGTGTGCATGTGCTGGGGAGACAGAACCACCAATGCTGCTGGCAACAGTCGCCACCTCTGCCTACCAGTGCTGCAGAGGACTGACATGCTCTTGGTCCCTGTGAGAGGAGCTCTTATTGTCACCATATCTAGAATCAGGAAGTCTTGATTTTAGAAGGCTCTAGCAACATTCACAGAGTGTGCACCATTCAAAAGAAAACTCCAGTCTGGTGTAAAATTCACTACAACTCAGGAAGGAGGCTATAAGCAAGCTCAGAATTGCCCAGAATTTACCACCAAACTCCGCACTCCCATAACAAGACTTACCTTGGATCTTCACCTCTGCTGGGGCTCCCTTTAGTAAGCTGAACTTGTCCTGCGAGGTGGGACAAACCCTGCAAGGAAACAGCAAAGCCAGTGAGGCCTGAGAGGGCTGGAGAATCCCCCTCACCACCCTTGCTCTCAGGAGTGAACTGCTTGTGTATATGTACTAAATGACACCATAGAATGGTTAATTTTATGTCTTGTTAATTTCATCCCCACAAATTCTTAAGAAAAACACTTCAAAAAGTTTACCTCAGAAACGTGCACTTGAATACTGAAATGAAAATTCTTCTCACAGTTAAAAAAAAGAGAGATGACCACACAAGGGGAAAAGAGAGAACTCCTCAACACTCTGAGCTCTTTCTTGAAATGGTGGTGCTGGATGGCTTTGGGGTGTGGACCAGGCCCTCTGGCACTAACCCCAGGCCAGCACCTGCTCCTCCAGAGTGGGGCACTTTCTTCCCTTCCAGCCCAAGTGTACCCAGTTGCCAGCTCCTGGAGGACATGGCCTCCCCTGGGTAGCTCACAGCCACCTTGGAATCCCTGTCCCAGTGGGGCTCAGGCACCTCCTTCTCCTGAGCTCTCATCTCCCAGATCACAGGCTTGCCAAGGCCAGGAGCTGGCTTTCCATGCTGTATTCATGGGGCTTAATACTGTGGCCAGTTAGTGTCTAATGAATGAACAACCATCACCTTTGGCACAGAATAATCTGCCATTAGTGAATGTCAACACTTAGCTTTTCCCAGAGACGGGTCAGCCCATAAGCAAGCCCCATTTCTGTAAATAAAATTTTACTGGCATTCAGCCCTGCCCATTCCTCCACATGCTGTCTGTGGCTATTTCTGTGCCACAATGGCAGAGACTGACAATGTTGACTGTGTGGGCCTTTGCAGAAAAGGCTCACTGAGCCCTCCTTTAAGCCATTGGGGGCTCCTGCTGTGACAGACTCTATAGTCACAGTTAGTTACTCACCCTTGGCATGGTGCAGCCCTGCCTTGACAGCAGCACACCAACACATGTGACAGGGGCCACTCATAAGTATTTTGTCTTAAGAGTGATCCCGGGGGCAGAACAGGTTCCAGATGCAGACTGCATGGAAGTTAGGAAGTCTTGTAATACCCAGACACATTTTGTAAGCCATACACAACTCAAGCCTCCCACTGGCTCTCCTCCTTCAGGGCAACACAGTCCAACTGCTGTACATCCAGCTCCGAGCTCCATGCCTGGTGCAACACTGAGGTCCTGGGGATATCACCTCAGCTGCTGAGGCCTCAGGCTCTTGCTAGGAAGCCCTAGGAGCTTGCCACCATGGCAGCCCCCCCCTCACCATGCAGAGAAAGAGGCTCTTTCCACAAGGCTGTTAGAGCCTGAGCTCCACCCTGCCATGGCTCTGGTTGTCACTCCTGCACTGCAAGACCTGGGACAGTTCATGGCTCCAGCCTGACCCTTAGCTTCCTAGTCTGAGACTGAGAGGACTGGTGTAGAGCATCTCCAAACTGGTAGTTAAAGCAAGAAAAACCCTCCAAAATCCAGCTCAGCACAGCATCAAGGAGGTGGATGGCCTAGCCTGGCACTGCTGGGATCCACTTCACCCCCAATTTGAGCATGGCTCAGTAGTCAGCACTTCCCACCTAACCAGCTTGCTCTCAGGGAGGCCTCTGGGAGGATAGCTATCACAGAAAGCACAAACCCCATCTTCCCCAGGTAGGCTGGGAAGCATGGGTGTACCCCCCAGATGGGAAAAGGAACAAAGCAAGGTGTTACCGTATACACATCCACTCCAGAATCTCCAAGCGGTACTTTGAGGGGCTACACAGCAGTTCCTGAATCGTCTTTGGTTCTGTGATATACAGACCCTCTAGGAAGGGACAGTTTAGGTCCTAAGCAAGGAAAGGGCAAGGCAGAAGCTTTAGGAAGCACGACCACTGACGGGTGCCAACGTGCTTCTGTAAGCTTTCATGATGCCTGCCTTCACACACGCCCTGCAGCCCAGCACCCCTCGAGCTCTCCTTCCATCCTGTCAAGAGTTCACTTCCCCTCATTTGACCCACACCTTCTGCGGCTTGCAGCCCCCATGCCTTCAAGTGTGTCCCTTCTGGACGCTTGTGGCAGAAAGCCCTAGAAGCAACACCTAAGACATCAGATCTAGGTTCCCGGGCAGAGGGAAAGGGGAGGGAGAGAAGGAGAGACCACTGAACCTGTGGTGGAGGAGCGGTATGGCGGCGGGGATGGGGGCGGGGCAGGCAAAGTGGAGAGGGATGAGGAAGAGGAGGGGAGAGAGATGGAGGGGAGGGAGAGGAGGCGGGGAGGGAAGGGGGGAAGCGCGGCAGAGGGAGCGGCCAGTGGGCCAAGGGGACCTGGGACAGCTCCCTGAACTTAGGGGCCCAGCTTCCTCACTGCTGCGTTGAGGAGTTTTGGAGGCCACCCCTGGCATCTGAAGCCGAGCCCCCATCTCGCTGATTTGAGAGAGTGGCACTGGGTTCTGCCCATCTGTCTACCCCAGACCCCGCAAGCTCCTCGAGGCCAGGGCCTCCCTTGGTCCTCCGTCTCTGCACTCGCTCCAAGCGCCCAGCCCGGGTCTTGCAGAGTTCCATCCTTGGTGCTGGCCCCAACTACCAGGCACGGGCCATGGAAACAGCAAGCGCGAAGGCCCGGGGCTTCCCAAAGAGCAAAGATGCATGCTCCACAGGCAGCCCTTCGCTGCAGGGTAACAAGGCGCAGAGGCCGCGCGGCGCCACCGACTTCCGCGGCAAGCCCGCCCGGACCTCAGGCAGGGCCCTGCCCGGCCTCCTGCCCGAGGTGGCTTCCTGGGTCCGCGGCACCTTCAGCTTCCCGAACACCTCCACAGCCGCCTGGAAAACGCTGTGGTCGCCCTTGTCCTCATAGTAGTCGCCGCCGCCGCCGCCGACGGAACCCTGCTCCGCCATGTTTCGCGCCCGTAGCTGCGCCCCGCCCACGCCCTGGCCCCACGGGCCGGCCCGCCTGCCAATCACGCGCCGGCACTCTTCCCGTCCACCCGCCTGAGCTGGGGACGCGGCCACCCCTCAGGCGAGCGCAGCTGCGGCCCGCCGCGACTTCCTATTGGGCCGCGGTTCGGCGGGAGTCGGCGCCACCCTGGGGCTGGGCCACGGGGAACGGGGCGGGACCGGGACGCAGGGCGAGCTGGGGCTGCGGCTGGCTCTCTGTTGCCGGCCTTGCCGGCGTCGCCCTGCTGGCAGCCGGGAGGAGGACAAGTCAAGGCGATGCTTGTCCAGGAGGGGACGCTCCGGCCTCGCTCGGGTTCTCCTGGGCCACAGCTGCGGGGACCTTGGTTCCCAGCAGGAAGAAGGGGAGCCTTGGATGCAGAATGGAACTGGGACTTCAGCTTCCCTCTCCCAGCGCAGGGCTCTGTCTCCTGTTTACCATGCTCACGCCATAGTTAAAGGGAAGATTCTTGAATTCAAATCCCATGCCTACACATAGCTGTGTGACTTTGCGTCAGTTACCTATCCTGTCTGTGCCTCCTTGCCCTCACCTACTGGGATAATGAAAACACCCACTTCACTGGGTTGCTAATGAGCATGGCATGAGATAATAATTCTATGAGCTGGGCACGGTGGCTCACGCCTTTAATCCCAGCACTTTGAGAGCCAGAGGCGGGATGATCACTTGAGGCCAGAAGTTCAAGACCAGCCTGGGCAACATAGTGAGACCCCATCTCTACGAAAAATTTAAAAATTAGCCAGGCATGGTGGTACATACCTGTAGTTCTGGCTACTTAGGAGGCTGAGGCAAGAGGATCATTTGAGCCTAGGAGTTCGAGGCTGCAGTGAACTATGATCATGCCACTCCAGTCTGGGCAACAGAGCAAGGCCCTGTCTCTAAAATAATAAAATAATTCCTACGAAATACCCAGGACAGTGCCTAGCCTGTCAAAGCACCATGTAAATGTTCACCATCATCATCATGCTGGGTGGCCTTGCTCTCCTTATTCTCAACCCCCCAGTCTTTCTGTGGCTCCTTCCTGCCCTGTCCACTTACCAACTACTTTGCATCTCTCAGGCCCTTCAAAGTCAATGAGTATGGAATGAAATTCATCAGCCCCTCCTCCCCAACACGTTCCAAGCCCCCAGCCCACTGAATGCCCCCAACCCTGGGAGCGCTGCTTGGACATGGCAGGAAGGAGCTGGAGGACAGCTTGTGGCCAGGAGCTGCTGCCAGACTCTATGCCCCTTTGTGCCTGCCCTGCCATCTCTAGGAGGGGGTGGTTCAGAAGGCAACTCTAGAGTCAGGGAGACCCAGGGACTTGCTAGGAGGCATTTAAGTCATCCAAGCGACAGAGAGGACTTAGCTTTGTCCTGGGAGGAGTGGGCAGGATCTGGGGTAACAGGAAGGGACTTCAGCCTGGCCTTGGGAGGCCCTGACACAGGCCCTGCTGGGGTGGGGCAGGGCCTTGTTCCCTATTGAATGTTCTGATGACATGGAGCCTCCAAACTTGTGCTGAAGGGACATGGAGAGAAGGCCCAACAGCCCCATTCAGGGGCCCAGCCACTTGCAGAGCACCATGCAGCCCCTCTCCACCCTTCCACATATCTGCTGCCTTGGGCCCATCTGAAAGCTGATGGCTGGCAGGGGCTTTAGGTTGTTTTCTTCTTTTATATAATTCTTTTCTCTCTCTTTTTCTGTTTTTGTTTTTCTTTCTTTCTTTTTAGAAAATTTCATTTCAATCACCACCCCAGCTCAGACATTCAAATTCTTGTGGGTTTTTCTGTGGATCTTTCCTAGCACTGGGGAATTTGGCAGGAGAAACCACGGCAGTGTGGCAGCCTCCCCTCACCCTCCCCATATCCTCTGCTCCTGAGAATCAGGAAGAAACCAGCTTGTGTATTCTGGAAGAGTATCTCCCTCCTCCGCCCAGCCCTGTGGAGCCAGTGCGCTAAGCAGATCTTTCCCCAGCTCAGCACCTCTGTCTATGGCATAGGCTAGGACTTGGCCTTGAGGGCAGAAGACCATCTCAAGAGATCATGCAGGCCGTCCCCTTGCATGGAGGACCTGTTGGCCAGCCCTGAGCTCACGGAGATGGCTGCTAAAGACACGGGTAGGAGGCAGCGGGCCTCCCTTCCCACATCACTCTGAATCATAGTGCCTCTCAGGCATCTTCCACCAGAAAGGCTGGAGGCTGGAGTGGGAACAGAGTCTGCTGGGGCCTCTCAGGAAGTGGAGAAGAAGGGGCCCAGCAGTAGGAGCTTCTGGAAAAGTGGACTCCAGCTCAATACAAGGAAGCATTTTTACCAGAAAGTACTGTCTAAACACCAACTGACTGCACAGAAAGGAAAGGAGCTCCCTGTCTTGGATGGTGTGCAAGCCCAGGGACATGGGCAGACATGTGGCAGGGTGGATTCATACAGTGGGGAAGGGGAGGAAGATCTCTAAGGGGCATTTTAGCCCAGAGACCCTGGGTTGTATGAAGAAGGCCTGGGTGGGCCAGGGGGGGAGGCTTTGGGGGCCTGGGCAGACCTGTGTGTCACATGCAGCAAGAGCCAACCTCCCAATCATGGGGGAAACTTGGCCATGGGGCCCAGCAGGCCCTTAGCTATGTGTTGGTGCTTGGAAAAGAGATTGGAAAATGAGGCCAGTTGACAGGTACTGGCCCCACTGTGCCAGGGATGGGCTGGTGGGTGGTGGAGGCAGATGAGACCTCTCAATTTGTGTGGTGGGCACAGAAATGTACAGCCAAGCAATTGGGTTCACTGAATCAGCTGGCCTCCCTGCCCTGCAGAGGGCATGGGGACAAGAGAAAGTCCTCGTGAGCATCTCAGCCCTGGTGTTCCCACTGCTTTTAGCAGCAGACCCCAGGGTGCAGTGGGAATATGAGCTGGGGCCCCCAGTCCACACCACTGATCCAAGGAAGCTGAAGTTCAAGGGCTTTCCTCTCCGCCAAGAAGGCAGCTTGGCTTCTGCCACATCTGACAGCTGTTGGAGTTAGACTTGAGGAGGTGCCACCTGCCCCAGGAGTCATGGCCAGTGAAATGAATTTTGTCTGAGCTGAAGCCCTTCATGGGGCTACATCAACCCCGAACCAGGGAGCCTGGGGCACCTTCGAGGGAGTGGGCTCCCTCCACTCCTACCCCTCCCCATCCCTGAAGCTCACCAATAAGGGCAGAGAGCACCAAATTCAGGGTTTGTGTGTGAAAGAGAGATTGATTTCAAGGGAGAACTCAGTTATGGGGCAAGAAGCTTGGCATATCCATGGGAGAAGGAAGTGGCAATGCCTGGCGTGGGATTGAGGGAGAGATGGGCCAGAGGAATGATGTCAGGCTGAGGAGTTGTCAGTCCCTGAGTTTGGGACTCCCCAGGCAAGGCAAGGCAAGGCCAGGGGACTGCCTCCTCTTCTCCTCCCTCTCCCTGTTCTTCCCCTCTTCTTCCACCTTCCTTTCTCTCCCTCTCCCCCTCCTCTGTCCCCCTCTTCTTCCTCCTCCTCTTCCTCCCCCTCCTCCCTGGGCCTCTCTCCTCTGCTCCAGAGCTACCATGCTGAACTGTTGACCACCCATCCACCCAGGCATCCTGGCATGCAGGCTCAGCACCCAGGTCTTGCAGCCAGCCCACGCCATCTGTGCGAGCCAGGAGCCTGCTCAGAAACCAACCCTCTTTGTGCACATGGAAGGAAGGATGGAGAACATGAAAGTGGGGGCTTGCAAATGAGATCAGGAAGAGCCCCAGGCTGCAGGGACCCCAAACTTTGATGTGGGCAATGAGACCCAAAGGGTGCACAGAGCAAGAATGACATTAACTTTCCCTGAGGTGGCCGTCATTCACTTGCCCTGCGACTGAGGGACTGGCCTGGCTAAGCACACGTTACTGGCATCCAATAAGTCCAGAGGACTCCAGCGCTGCCACTGTGGGCCTTACAGAGGTGGGCCTACTATCACTGTAAGCTTGGAGGAGTCCAGTGGTCTCTGGTCTTAACCCTGGATGGACAGCAGTGCCCACCTAGGAGCTGACTGCAAATTGTCAACTCTAAAATGTTCTCATCCTAGGCCTCTGCGTCCACCTCGAGAGTTTACTGGTATATGAGGATGGGGAAGCTGCCATAGGACCTTGGCCTCCTCTTCTTGTCACTTCTAGTCCCTATGCTGGGGCAAGGACCAAGGCAATGCAAGACAGTGCCACCTTCACACCCCATGATGCCCCTGCCCTAGGCTTCCTGCTTCAGGGCACCACCCCCACCTCCTGCAGTTGAGGGGCACTCAGAGCCAAGGGGTATCACATTCACCTCCCCCCATCACAGGCCACAAGCTCTTGCAGGAGCACATTCCACAGGATGGGACCTGCGAGGGTCTGCAGCTTCTGTCCACCCTCTCCCCCCAGGGCGAATCTTGCTCCAGGCCTGAGGCATCTGTGAGGGGTGTGGGTAGAGCCTGGCTGGGTAGGGAAGGCAAGGGCTGAGGGGTCTTCCTCTGTCCTCTTGCCCCAGGTCCCATAAATGGGGGCAGAACAGTTTGGGCCCCTGGGGACCTGTGGGTTTCCCGCTCATGCCGTAGCACTCCCAGGCATGCAGGTGGTTGAGGGGAGGGTCGGGCACAGCAGCACCAGGGGCAAAGGAAACTGCAGGCGGGCTCACCCTCTCCTCAGGGAGACACTCGGATCTAGGCGGCTTGGCAAAGCAGGCAAGGCTGAGTCACATGCCTCTGGAGCTGGAGACGCGGGCCCCAGGACTGGAACATGAACATGCCCACTCGGAGGGCTCGGTGGTGGGAGGGGGTGCTCAGCCTGGCCTTGTTGCCCCCAGCCCCTGAGCTGACCCTGAGCTCAGGTTTCTGTCCAGCCTCTGGCCCCAGCCCGAGGGCCTCAATGCCCACAGGGAGTCAGGTGGAGCCCACAAGATTGGCAGAAGCATATTGGAACTCCAGGTGGAGAAAGAGGATGGGAAAACAGCCCCCACAGTCCCCTATTGCCACCATGCCCCTGCTCCCAGTGGGCCAGCCCTTGCTG